CGTCAGCACCGGGGGCTACTCGGAGGCAGCCCGGCCCCGGGACCACCAGATGAACCGGTGAAGGGCACCGGGGGTTTGGGTGGCTGCGAGAGCCGGTGCTGGCAGGGAACACGGGTTTAATCCCTGCTCCATCAGGGCGCTTGAATCGCCACCGGCAAACAGCAAAGAGCGGCATCCCCGGCCAAAGGTCGCTCGTGAGCGCCCGTTTCGGGGAGCCGCAGTAAGAGGTGCCCACGCCGGGCAGCGCTCACCCTCCCCGGGGGCAGCGGGTTTGCGTTCGCACCCGGGGAAGGTTTCCAGTGAGGGGCGATATGATCACGCTGGCAGTTAGGGTGATGGATGGGATCTTCAGCGGAACAATAAAACCCTTATCGCGCCGCCGCGTCGTCAAATACACACAGGTATATATATATACATGTATATATATGTACCTGTCTATCTGTAGATATAGTTTTGCCTCGCTGGGCAGAAAGCCTCCAGGCACCCCGCAGGGCACTCGGGCACCGGGGAAGAGCAGGGAGGGCAGGATGCGGCCCTCGTTGGGTGCTGGAGCAGCCCAGGGAGAGGGGGATTGAAACAGGGAGCCCCGGGAGACCCCTCCCCGCTGCACGGCTCGGTGGTGCTGGTGGGGGGTGTCCGTCACCTCTTTGCTCCGTGCCTCAGTTTCCCCTCTTAGCGGGGAGAGTGGGGCGCTGAGCCGGGAGGGTGCTGGGGCAGGGGATGGCAGCGCTGAGAGCGGGCGCTGCGGTTGCAGTACCGCGTGGGGCAGCTCTACACCATCAGCAAGCACAGTCACCAGGAGAGCGAGAAGGGCGAGGGGGTGGAGGTGGTGAAGAACGAGCCCCACGAGGACCCCGTCCACGGCCCCGGCCAGTTCACCGAAAAACGCGTCCACCTCTCCAGGTGAGGCTCCGGCTCCGGCAAGGGGTCCTGGGTGGGGAGGGGACCCCAGATCCGTGGGGTGGTACCACGGCAGGGGGTGTGGGCAGGTATCCCCCCCCCTCCAAAATCCCCGGGGAACATCCTTCCCATGGCCTCCACCCCCTGCAGTGTGGCTGCGCCCGTCTCCCAGAGATGGACCCATCTTTGGGGGCTGCACGCATCTTCGGGGGGGGTGTACGTATCTCTCAGGGTGTACCTATCTCCTGGGGTGCACTTATTTTGGGGGGGGCTGCACCCATCTTTGGGGGCGCACCCATTTTTGGGGACTGCACCTATCTCTCAGGGTTCACCCATCTCCAGGGGTGCATTTATGTTGAGGGGCTGCACCCATCTTTAGGGGGTACACGCATCTTCAGGGGTTGCACCCATCTTTGGGGGCTGTACCTATCTCTCAGGGTGTACCCATCTCCTGGGGTGCACTTATCTCGGGGGGCTGCACCCATCTTTAGGTGGTGCACCCATCTTTTGGGAGTGTACCCATCTTCAGGGGCTGCACCCATCTCCCAGGGTGAACCCATCTTTCGGGGGTGCACCCATCTTTGGGGACTGCACCTATCTCTCGGGGTCCACCCATGTCCTGGGGTGCACTTATCTTGGGGGGGTGCACCCATCTTCAGGGGCTGCACCCATCTCCCAAGGTGAACCCATCAGCCAGGTTGCACCCATCTTTCGGGATGGCACCCATTTTGGGGGGCTGTACCTATCTCTCAGGGTGTACCCATCTCCTGGGCTGCACCCATCTCTTGGGGGGCTGCACCCATCTTTTGGGGGGTGCACGCAGCTTCAGGGGCTGCACCCATCTCCCAGGGTGAACACATAACCCAGGCTGCACCCATTTTTCAGGGGTGCACCCATCTTTGGGGACTGCATCTATGTCTTGGGGTCCACCCATCTCCTGGGGTGCACTTAGCTTTGGGAGTGCACCCATCCTTAGGGAGTGCACCCATCTTTTGGGGGTGCACCCATTTTGGGGGGCTGCACCTATCTCCCAAGGTGAACTCATCTCCTGGGGTGCACTTACCTTGGGGGGCTGCACCCATCTTCAGGGCCTGCACCCATCTTCGGGGGCTGCACCCATCTCCCAGGATGAACTCATCTCCTGGGGTGCACTTATCTTGGGGGGCTGCCCCCATCTTTTGGAGGTGCACCCATCTCAGGGGCTGCCTTGGGGGGCTGCCCCCATCTTTTGGGGGTGCACCCATCTTCAGGGGCTTCTCCCATGTCCCAGGGTGAACCCATCTCCTGGGGTGCACTTATCTTTCAGGGCTGCACCCATCTTTGGGGTGTATGTATCTCTCAGGGTGTACCTATCTCCTTGGGTGCAGTTATTTTGGGGGGCTGCACCCATCTTTTGGGGCTGCACCCACCTTTTAGGGCTGCACCCATCTCCCAAGGTGAACCCATCACCCAGGCTGCACCCATCTTTCAGGGCTGCACCCATCTTTGGGGTGTATGTATCTCTCAGGGTGTACCTATCTCCTTGGGTGCAGTTATTTTGGGGGGCTGCACCCATCTTTTGGGGCTGCACCCACCTTTTAGGGCTGCACCCATCTCCCAAGGTGAACCCATCACCCAGGCTGCACCCATCTTTTGGGGCTGCACCCATCTTTGGGGGCTATCTCCCAGGCTGCACCCACCTTCCTCGGGCTGCACCCATCTTTAGGGGGTACACCCCTCTCCTGGTGGGCACCCATTGCCAGGTACCAGTGGGTGCCCCCACTGCTCTGCCCGTCCCAGGGGGTGTCCCCACGGGGAGTCCCGGGTGCCCCTTGGGTGGCCGCTGGCACATGGG